GGCCGCAACCGAGGCTGCGCTGGGGTCATCGCTCAAGCCCGTAGACGCGTCTCCGTCAACAGAAGCCCCGGAGAAGAACAAAGCTCCGTCTTGGAGCCAGGTGGTTAGAAAGAAGAGCGCCCCAAAACCAAAAACGGCGCCACCACCCCCCAAGAAGAAGACGGTGAAGATCAAACCGCCGAAGACTGCGGCGGTCGCTATCACCATCCTCCCGGAGGCAGGAGAAAACGCCACCTATGAGGCGGTGCTGAGGGAGGCACGCCAACGCGTAGATGTCCAGGCGCTGGGTCTTGGGCCCTTAAAATGGAGGAAAGCGCAGACCGGGGCTCGGATATTTGAGATCGGTGGGGAGGGCTCTGCTGCGAAGGCAGACCTCTTCGCTGAAAAGCTCAGGGAGGTAGTGAATCCCGAGGCAGTGAAGATCCACCGCCCAGTGATGCGCACTTCAATCCGAGTCGCTGGTCTGGACGAGTCCGTTACTCAGGCTGAGGTAGTGGCAACGGTTGCTCAGGTGGGCGGCTGCCCCGCCGAGCTTATCGTTGCAGGTTCCCTCTCAGCGTCGGGCGCTATCCTGCTGGGAGTCCCAGCGGCAGCCGCCAAAAAAGTGGTTGACGCGGGCCGGATCATCGTCGGATGGAGTTCCGCTCGCATTTCAGCAATGGCACCGGTGGCTCGGAAATGTTTCCGGTGCCTGGCGACCGGACACTTAGCGGCCATGTGCAAGGTCGCCCAGGGAGTTCCCCGGGGCCACTGCTATCGCTGCGGACAGCCCGGTCATTTCGCACGGGATTGCAAAAACGATCCGAACTGTGCGGCGTGTACCGCACTAGAAAAACCAGCCACACACGTGGCCGGATCCGAAGGGTGCTGCCTCAAAGCCCAGACAGCGAAAAAGGGCAGTGGGGGGGCAAGGCTCCCTAAGCCCTCCAGCAGAGGAGACATGGATACATCCTAATCCATGGATCTAGAAATACTGCAAGCGAACGTAAACCACTGCGCCAGGGCCCAGGATCTTTTTGTCCAGACCATGGCGGAGTGGCAAACACAGATCGCAGTGGTCGCTGAGCCATACGTCGTGCCCCCTCGGGATGACTGGGTTGGGGATACGGAGGGACTAGTGGCCATCGTCGCATCGCGAGTCAACGGAGCCCCTCCTCTGATATTTACAGCCAGGGGCCGAGGTTATGTGATGGTTAGCGTGGGCGGCACTGCAGTAGTGGGGGTGTACTGCTCCCCTAACGAGGGCTTTACTGCTTTTCAGCAAGTTCTTGTTGAGGTGGGAGCTCTAGTCAACAGAGTGCACCCTTGCCCCGTGCTAGTCGCCGGGGATTTCAACGCCAAATCTCGAGCGTGGGGATCTGCGGTGACGAACGCACGGGGAAATTTACTGGAGGAGTGGGCTATAAGCCTCGGTTTGGAGGTCCTCAACAGGGGAAGCGAGTTGACGTGTGTACGTCACAATGGAGGGTCGGTGGTTGACGTCACATTCGCCTCTGCCCCCCTGGCGCGCCGTATCGCAGATTGGACAGTGGTGGTTGACGCTGAAACCCTGTCGGATCACCGCTATATCCGATTCAGGGTGGCCGCGTCTTCTACGTCACAAGTCGGAGCTTCCCCTACTGGAGATGGAAGAAAATGGGTGCTGGGAAAACTGGACATTTCCCTGGCCAAAGAAGCGGCCATCGTGGAAGAGTGGTCCAGGAGGTTATCGTCCGACAACCTGGATCACGAAGTTGACGTGTTCTGCGGTGCGCTGGTCCGTATATGCGAAGCCTCGATGCCGAAAGCGCGTCCGGTCACCCCACGGCACCGGGTGTACTGGTGGCGAGACGAACTCCGCGATTTGCGTCGAGCGTGTGTCACCGCCCGCCGTCGCCATGCCCGCGCCAGGCGTAGGAGCGTACGGGACGTTCAGAGAGAGGACGTCCTATACGAGGAGTACCGGGTTGCACGCAAGGCTCTGCGGATGGGGATCAGCGCTGCCAAGGAGGCGGCCTGGAACGAGTGGCTAGAGTCACTGGATCGGGATCCGTGGGGGCGGCCCTACAAGGTCATCAGGGCCAAATCCAGGCCTTGGACCCAGCCGATCACGACCACTCTTCAGCCACAGTTCCTGGAGGAGGTGGTGGAGGCGTTGTTTCCTCGAAGGGAGCCTTGGACGCCTCCAGCTATGGCTGATAACTCGCCAAACGAGTCCGGTAGTCCGGCGGTATCCGAGGAGGAACTGTGTCGTGCGCGTGCAAAGCTGCGGAGCAAGAGGACCGCCCCGGGCTTGGACGGAGTTCCCGGTCGGGTGGTGAACATAGCGTCTGAGGCAATGGAGGCATGGATACGTGAGGTGTTCTCCATGTGCCTGGACCGAGGCCGGTTTCCGGCTTGTTGGAAGGTGGGGAAACTGGTCCTACTACGGAAACCAGGCCGGGACGAGGGCCTACCGTCGGCATATCGGCCGATTGTGCTCCTGGACGAGGCGGGTAAGCTCTTTGAGCGAGTGCTCGCGGCTCGTCTCGTCCAGTCGATGAGCAGAAGTCTGCACGAGACCCAGTTCGGCTTCAGAGAGGGCCGGTCGACGGTCGACGCAATCCTGCGTGTCAGGTCGCTCGCTGAGGAGGCTGTGTCTCAGGGTGGGGTGTTGCTAGCGGTATCGCTAGACATCTCCAACGCCTTCAACACACTTCCCTGGGAGACAATACTTGCAGGCCTGAGGTGGCACGGGGTGCCCGAGTACCTGCAGGTCGTAGTGGCGGACTATTTTGTGGGCCGCAAAATAGTATACCCCACGCAGGGGGGCCGTTGGGTCTATAAGGCGATGTCATGCGGTGTTCCACAGGGGTCTGTCCTAGGCCCCCTCTTGTGGAACATCGGCTACGACTGGGTGTTACGGGGAGCTAATGTTCCCGGTGTCTGCGTGACTTGTTACGCAGACGACACCCTGGTCACGGCTTACGGTTCATCTTATCGAGAGGCGTCAATCGTCGCAACAGCGGGTGTGGCTCAAGTCGTGCGACGGATTCGTACCCTGGGATTGGAGGTGGCTCTTGACAAGTGCGAGGCCATTTCCTTCCACGGTCCTCGGAGGGGACCGCCGAGGGGAGCGTGTATTGTGGTCGGAGGAACTTTTATCTCTGTTCAGCCCTGGCTGAAGTACCTAGGGCTGGTCCTCGACAGTCGATGGACGTTCGGCGAGCATTTCCGGCGACTGGAGCCCAAGTTGGTCGCGGCGGCTGGCGCGTTGGGGCGCCTGCTTCCGAACGTCGGTGGTCCCAGTGTGGCATGTCGTAGACTCTACACTGGGGTCGTTAGATCGATGGCACTGTACGGTGCGCCTGTATGGGCCCGGTCTCTCGGCCCGCGAACGACAGCCTACCTCCGCCGTCCGCAGCGTATCTTGGCGCGACGGGTGGCGCGGGCGTACCGTACAGTGTCTTTTGAGGGGGCCTGCGTGCTGGCCAGCACGCCACCGTGGTACCTGGAGGCCGATGCGTTGTCGGCTGTCTATCACCGGCGCGCGGAGGCTCGCAGCCATGACGGAGGAGTTGCGTCCGGGTCGGTCGCCGAATGGAGAAGGGATGCGGCGGCCAACGTTCTACGTAGATGGGGTGAGCGACTGGCTTCTCCGACGGCCAGTTATGAACTGGCCACCGCTGTCAGGCCTGTTCTTTGCGAGTGGGTGGGTCGCACGTTTGGCCCACTGACCTACCGCCTGTCACAGTTGCTGTCGGGACACGGATGTTTCGGCAGGTATCTGTGGCGGGTGGTGGGCAGGGAAGAAAGCCCCGCCTGCCATCACTGCGGGGGTGGCGTGGAGGACTCGGCGCAGCATACTCGCGAGTCATGCCCAGCGTGGGACAGCCTTCGCGCTGCTTTGACTACGGTCATAGGGAGGGACCTCTCGTTGCCGGCTATAATCTCGGCTATGGTCGGCAGCGAGGAGGCATGGGAGGCGGTGGCCGCTTTTGCCGAAGCGGTCATCAGCGCGAAGGAGGCAGCGGAGCGGGCCAGGGAGAGCAACCCGGAGGCCCCTGCCCTCCGTCGTCGGCGAATTGGTCGCCGGCGCCGAGCCTATCTGGCCTCTTTACAGCCATAGGTTAAGCGCCGGGCGACGTGATCCTGGGTGGCAGACGGGGACTTCTGTCGCCCGTTGATAGGATCAGTGCGGTGCTAGCCCCTCTTGTTCCGGGGGCGGCTCGCGGTGGTGGTCTGCGGGGGGATTTGTCCCCCCTAGTTCGAGGTCCGGAGTGGACAAGCGCCGGCAGGGTCGCGAGGCAAGCTCGTGATATACCGTGGCCCTGCCTAGGTGGCGTGGTTGAGGAACACCCAGGGGTTTTAGTGGGTCGAAACCCCACATAACCCGGTCAAGTCCCCGCTTGGCCGGGTATCTGTGAACAGATTTCCCCTGGAAAAAAAAAAAAAAAAAAAAAAAAAATGTTTGATTGTAAAACACCATTTTTAACAGAAATAGATTAACGATTTATCCTAATAATACAACATATGTAGTTAATTTACCTGAACAAGTTTCAAATTATAATATTTATTATTAATAAAAGTTATTTTAAATGAAATTATTTTAACGTGAAAAGCATAACTATTTATAGCAATATTGAAAATTTCGATAGAATATTTGTCGATATAACTAATTTTTACACTTTCAAATCTCTATTCGAACAACTAACGGAATAGTAATAATAACGCCGGCGGCCCGGCGCCTGCGGTCAGTGGTCACGCATGCGCCGTTGCGACTATACGGTGTCTTGACCTTGTATGAGTCAGATGTTTTGAACATGTCTTCGAATAATGTCGATTTAAAACTTATTTGCCTATGCACTGTAACTGACGTCTGCTTGATATTGTTTAAGTTATACTATTTTTTATAATAAGCTTATACTTATATGTATACATGCCTTCAAGGGTTGACACAGTTTTTCATACACCCTGTATAATAAATTTCTATATAAGAAACAATTTTATGAGAAATGACCATATAAAATGCATCAACTCACTTATTGTCTTCATCATCATCCCATGATAGAACCAGTTCATCCTTTTTCTCTGTACTCACTGGAGCCCCCCAGTCTATTGAGGATGATGTGCCCCAATCCATGGCCGATTCTTCAGCTTCTGAAAACATAAGCGGATAATTTTGAAGTTATGAAATCTTTTCCTATAAATTTATTTAAAATAATTAAGAAACATTATTAATACAGAGTCCTTTTTGTCGCAGAGGCACCAGAATATGAAAGCCAATAAACCCAAAACAATAAAAAACAACACACAAGGAATTCCATAAAAGCCAATAACTAATAAAGACACAGGGACGTACAAGCGAACGTGAATGGGCCCTACTTTTGGATGTTTCCTCAAGCTGCCCCGTGTGGATGACCGCGTGGTCTATTGACGGGGCGGACGTGGGTCCAGTACGAGGACGTTCATCACGGACGCGGCCTGGCAGCTTTGATAGTACTTCCAAGGCCAGGGCAGGGCAGCCAGCCTTGAAATGACCATGCGCGGTCTGGAAGTATAGACGACGCTCCAAACGAGTTATACCCTCCTCCGGCTCTTGCTGAAGAAGAGCTAATGTACCACCCTAGAAAGGAAAGCAATAATTAATAAATTAAGATATAATATTTATAAGAAATATTATACATTTGTGTCATAAATTTGCAATTTTGGCCATTATAAACAATGTTTAATATATCACACGCAAAAACAATAGCTTTTAATTTTACCTGGCTAGGCATATTATGTCTCTTTAATCTAGGATGCGTTCTTAGATACACGTAGAAGTTGAACACACTAGGCATCGGTTCATTGTCTTTGTTATTGGCAGCATGAAGCCTGCCTGCCGGACTCAATAATGTATCTAAGGCTTCACCATAGCGTTTAAGTTCCCATAGCGCCATGGATCGTATAAATGGATCTGGGTGAGCGTGTTCTAGATCTATTTCTTGATCTTCCGTTTCGCCTCTGTAATTTTTAATTTTATTATATTTTGCGAATATTATACGTACAAGAATTTTTTTTCGGACACAACCTACCCCAGTATTTCATCCATTAGTAATTTCTTTAAGCTGGGCGGTAGAGCACTGTCTGATTCATAAAGTCGAGCAACAACCATTGCCAGTTGTAAATCACATAAACGTGTCATGAGAACCTGGGAACGATATATGATTTGTTGAGATAAAAGTTAGATCGTTGTTTAGATGGTTTTCCTTACTATCTATGGCACCTCACTATGTTAAGTAATTGAAGACAAGATAGAGATTGGAGATCTGCGCTTAACTTAATCTTAAATTATTAAGATTTTCAAACAAAATATAAAGATAACGGAGAAAATTAACGTACAAGTACTAGATCTTATTTGAAATGCACTCTGAGGAATGTGTTTGGTACTTTCGGAATTATAATTATTATGATTAAAAATATACGAACTTCCAAAGCATCCTTCAAAGCTCCACCCAAAAGGAAGAAAGCTGCGGCGTGTTCAAACCGCTGTTTCCCAAGTAACACAAACGCGTTCTTTAAGGCGGCCTTACGCCATCTATCTTCCGAAAAATCGTTGGCGAAGAACTGTACAAAGTAAATTATCAAATAAAATAAAATCCTGTATACAGAATATAATTAGAAACTATTTAAGGAATATAGCATAAAATCAGTGTTAACACTCACAGCGGTCATCTTGTCGTCTCTGTTCGATCGAAACAGACCCCATAGAAGTGTCTTTTTACGCATCGCTAGGTAAAACAGCGCCGCGTCCATTGGATCCTGTTTGGCGAGATATGAGGCACGAGCTAAACGTTCAACGCATGTCCGTAGTAACTCACCGCGCACCCACCATCCCACGCCTGGAATAATTGGTGGGTTAAAGAAAATTAAACCTATTTTATGATTATGCATTGCTGATATTTTCATTTTAAATACATGAAAATTAAAATGTACAAATGTAGTGATTGCAATAAGTCTAATGCGTAAGCTTATATAAAAAGATCATTAAGTATTTACCCAATTCTCTCATAGTGGACCATTTAGCTTGTCCCTTAGTATAACCAGGTATGAGAGCCAACAGCTGGTCGTGTGTCTCAGAGTGGAAGGCCCACACTAGATTGCAGGTCCCAACACCAGCCCGCTGAAGGCTAGCTCGTTGGGCTAATGGAAGACAGCGCGCCAAGTATCCGTAGTGTTTCATTGCTAGGAGGAACCTCAGCCCGCAGTCATCCAGAGAGTCTATTCAATGATAATTAAATATTTATATAACAATATCGGTTATTTTGAATTAAATATTGAAGTAACTTTGTTGATAAAAAGTAATATAATCTGTTCTCATCCCTACTAATATTATAAATGCGACAATAACTCTGTCTGTCTATCTGTCTGCCTGTTACGCTTTCACGCCTAAACCACTGAACTGATTTTAATGAAATTTGGTACAGACATAGAGTTGACCTTGAGAAAGAACAGAATAGTTTTTATCCCACACCTTTGAAAAGTTCTCTTGGAAACGCGATATAACCAAACTCGACGAGGGCGAGCTGCGTGCGGAAAGGTAGTTATTTATAAACTTCGAGTATTATCGTATAAATTTACCCACCGGGTAGAATTTCCTGTCCTTGTCCCTGGGTCACATCTACTCTGGCACAATTAGTGAGTCTCTCGGCAAAGTCAGCGTCACAAGTTGAAACGGTATCAGCCAACGCCAGGAGGTGCATCTGATCCAAAGAACTCAACCCAGGAAGATGTGTGTGAGTCAGCAAGCGAGATAGGATACGACCTGGTCAAATTAGTTAAATAAACTTTTACTTCTTTATTTTCCTTTGGTTTTTAGCCAGAACATTTTTATTAAGATTGCCAAAAAAAGGCAAATACGTTGTTTTAACAACTTATTATGTGCTTTAAAATTAAATATTTCAAAATTAACTGCGACTAAAAGACAATATCTGTGTAGAAAATAACCTTGTCTCGGTCCGAAGTGAGAAAGTAATTGCCTCTCAGGCATCGAGGGTCGTCGATCGATCCCATCTTCTTCCTCTAACAAAAGAGCATCCAAGTCATCCTCGACTTCCATAGATCCTTCAAAGAGTTCATTATAATCCTGAAACAACGAATGTAACGTATATTTTAGTTGCTAAGTACTTAATTATAATTATGTGTTTTTTATTTATTATCTCGACCACAAAACCGTATTCGTTATGGCATCAATCGTTAGGAATAAAACCACCGGTTAACTGAATTGATATAATTAGTACAGTGCCATTCATTTATTTTACCTTAGCTTCTTGTATAGTTGAGGGATGATGAGCTGATTCCTTGTCAGCAACAAGTAAAGTCCACAACGGCAAGGGCGGTACTGACGTTAGCTCTGCGTAATCTAATTGTACGTCTTCGGTTATCTATATTAATAAAGAAGAGTTTAGAAAAAATGCAAAATTTAAAAAAAAGTTAATATTTAGAATTGACTAAGCATATGCTTAAGCTGATACATATTACTGTGTTTTTATTTTTGCAGGAACATATATAATTGTGCATATTGTGCAGGTGCTAAATTTTAAAATAAACCATATGAAGTGCAATTAATAAAAAAGAGTATGAAATTACATTACATAAATATTAAACAATACTTTTATCTTAAACTTCTGTTCTGTTAAACAAATTAATATACTATAAGTATGTACATTTATTCATAACACCGAAATCTGTTAACATAAATGTAATACAACTAACATTAAACACAAATACAAAAAATAATAATATAAAAAATTTAAATTAACTTCATCATGGAATACAACACATAACAATAAAAAAAAAAACATTAACCATAGACAAATATTATAAAGAACATCGAATATCGTGTGAAGCTGACCTGCGTGACGCCGTCAAGAGGCGAGGCTGCGCCCGCGGCGAACGACACGGACAGAGTGCGCGACCGTGACCACCCACGCTGTAACAAACGTGCTCACGTGCCAGTGGTGGGAGGGGGGGGGGGGGGGCAGTGACGTAGGAGGGGGGGAGGCAGGGCGAATATGGCTTGCTTAGACTGGCGTCTTTCAAGCGGATGTAACTAATGATATTTTTTTTTCTTCCATGCAAGCCCAAAATCAGGCATTATTTAAGTTTAAAATTTTTCTTCCTATATGAAGTGAATGATACATTTGAAAATTTCAAGACATGCCTCAACTTGAGTAATGTAAATGTTATCGTATAATTCCTACAGAACTTCTGTACTAATAGTTATTAAAACAGGTAAGCTTTGTAGCAGCTTATTGTTTAAGGTTACTATAACCTCTCAATGTTAAAGCTATGTATCTTGAACATATATGATTTGCCTTCAGTGACATTCGATAAAGCTACATTGAATCATGTGCTGATAAAAATATATATCATATTGATACCTGTCTTGATATGCTGTCCTCGTCTCCTTGCGAACTGCGACTAGTGTATGATCCACCAATACATCTGTTTAAGAATCAAATATAATTCCGTTATTTTCACATTAACATGCAATATTTATAGAGTACTTAATGAAAATAATTAATAATACATATATAGTTTATCTACTAGGTGGAACTAAAATAATGTATTTACCTGACCAAATGTGCAAGAATGGCTTTCACCCATCTTATTTTACCGCTATTCAGTAATTCCATTAACTGCTTTGGATGATACTGAGGTAGGACGGGACAAGCTATCTGTGACGCTTCGAATAGACCGTAGTCCGGCATGTAGTCCAGAAGAGGCTGTTAGTAAGTAAATCATACAAGTAATTAATATGTAAAACTTTGGCGCGTATACAGGGTGTATGAAAAACTGTGTCAACCCTTGAAGGCATGTATACATATAAGTATAAGCTTATTATAAAAAATAGTATAACTTAAAAAATATCAAGCAGAGGTCAGTTACAGTGCATAGGCTAAATAAGTTTTAAATCGACATTATCCCATTTAGACCTACCGTCTCACATACGATACACCAAAAGTAACAAATTATTTTGAAGTTCCGTCGATAAGAATTTGTTTTTATTTGGAACCCATGTGAAGTGCAAGGTCTGTGCAACATTCCTAGAAGAGTTTATTTGTTATAGTCGAATACACAAGTTGACTACATACATGGTTTGTTAGAGATTTGTGCATTGCGATCATATGATGGCATCAAAACGGTAAGAAATGCTATATTTTTTCAAATTATCTCATATTTATAACAATTTATAACTAGAATACAAGTTAAAGCGTAAATTGAGTGATTTAGTTTTATTATTTCTTGGAAATTTTTGCATGCTTTTTACTCGTAAACTATAGTGTATCGTATTTGATACAGTAGGCTAATACGCATAATATATTTCTTATTTCAGACTTACATTTAATGAAATTGTCATTCGGTTAGAAGATGAAATCGAAAATAGTTTCACAGAAAATGATATTTATTTACTACCACCTGAAAATGCAAACGGGGTGTTGACTGATGTTGTTGACTGATGAAGATTTTGGAGACGAATATAACGTCGAAATCAACAACCTACCACCGAGCTTGTTGAGACCGAATGCTGAGTTGCATGGATCAAATTCAGGAGATTTTAAAAGTCAACAATCAGGTCTTGGAGTTGAAGTAGATCAAGAGCCAGATTTCTGCGAACCACTAAGCAAAACATCCAAAAAGTACAATTGGAGAAAAAAAATTCTTCACCAAAGCAAAACCGACATGGAAACCTATGTTCCATGTTCCTAATCAAAGGTCGCCTATCGAATGGTTTTCTTTTTTTTTTTCAGAAGATCTTTATCTATTACTCAGTACTGAGACTAATAAATACGTAGGAAGGAAAAATCTTCCCGTTGATATGAAAATGGAAGAAATGAAGTGTGCTATAGGCATTTTGTTAGTAAGCGGCTACTGTCAAGTAAATAGAAGACGTATGTACTGGGAAAACACACCTGATACAAAAAATGATCTGATTGTTGATGTGTTGATCTTTCAGACAAAACATATCATCTCTTCGGACAAGTATTCGCGGTAAGAAGTGGTATATGCCACTCATTCTGCATTGTATAGACATGTCACTTCAGAACGCCTGGCTACTATACAAATATAACGGTGGTAATGTCGATATGCTGACTTTCAGGCGTTGCGTAGCTATCGCACTTATAGAATCAAATACCCTTAGAAGTAAACCAGGCCGTAGCAGACCATCCTCACTAACCATGGATACGAGGTTTGATGAAAAGGGTCATTACGTCATCAAACAACCACAGAATAAACGCACAAGATGTGGCTTGTGTCATCGATCATGTCCTGCAAGATGTGTAAAGTGCAATATTTGACTTCATATTGATAGTTTTCTTACCTATCATACCAAAAAATAATGGTGTATATTTTTGTCAATAAATACTTTTTGCCTTAGATACTGGAATTTATGCTTTTATATAAGCCTACTGTATCACATAGGATACGGCCCATCTCAGACCCCCTATGGAATCGATTTTTTTTTTAAATATTTTTTTCATTAATAACAATGTTCAATGATACGATAAAATAGAAAAAGTACATATTTTTCGAAAAAAATAGTTTCCGGTCTAAATGGGTTATTCGAAAAAATGTTCCAAACATCTGACTCATACAAGGTCAAGACACCGTATAGTCGCGACGACGCATGCGTGACCATTGACCGCAGGCGACGGGCCGCCGGCGTTATTATTACTATTCTGTTAGTTGTTCGAATAGAGATTTGAAAGTGTAAAAATTAGTTATATCGATAAATATTCTATCGACATTTTCAATATTGCTATAAATAGTTATGCTTTTCACATTAAAATAATTTCATTTAAAATAACTTTCATTAATAATAAATATTATAATTTGAAACTTGTTCAGGTAAATTAACTACATATGTTGTATTATTAGGATAAATCGTTAATCTATTTCTGTTAAAAATGGTGTTTTACAATCAAACATAATATTAATGTGTGATATATCAAAATAAGTATCGAAATAATATGAATATTAAATATTTATTTATTGTTATGATTTTTTAAATATCGATATTTTCAATAATGTGAAAGTAACTTCAAGGTCGTCACTAGTAGCGAAGCAGCTGTGATGACGTCATTGCGTGTCATCGTGCTATACCAGGGTTTACAAACATTTTGTTACTCTACACATAATAATCATTTAATATTTAATTTTATTATTTTTATTGAAGAGTTTGTAAATGTAAGTTGTTTTATTGTGTTACATTATCGATACTGTTAACGTAGTTAAGAGGGTTGACACAGTTTTTCATACACCCTGTATAAAAAGTCACTTGTATTCGTCTACTCGGGATTACGATCAATGAAAGTGTTCTATACGTCGAATAAAATATAAAAAATGAAATATATACAACGTGTAACATAATTAACGCACACCCTGAAAGTAGTTTGATCAGAATCGGATACTGGATCGATTTTGATAGTTTTTTATGTAGGTCATTTTTTTTCTCAAATTTAGATAGAACTAAGTAAATTATAGTCACCCTACTACACACAGTTATCTAAACACTTCATAGAAACGAAAATTAATGGAAACGAAAATGGATCGTAAGTCAGGGTATTAAGATTTTTAAAATGAAATATTGAATTAGTAATCATCATTCAATTAAAGAAAACTGATACTTATTTCAAGGCTAAAATAGTTTTTAATAATAACTACGCACGCAACACCATAGCGACAACCGGCACACAGCAAGGTCACTACAGTGCATAAAAGAAAGCCGCGTAAGACAAAAATTATTACTTTCTCCTTCTTTCTTCGGCTTAATAACATTACAATAGAGCGAGACGGCAGGCATAATTCCGGGAATCAGAGTAATAATAACTAAACATCGAAGTCAACAAAATGTGTTTTGGGTAAGTTAGTTACGCCGCGTCCACCTTATCGAAGAGGTCAAGTGTAAAGTGCAAATAAAATCTTAGTCGCGCATTTCGCTGTGTCGTTTCGGTACACTAACATTCAATACATCAAGTACCTACGCACGTGTCCATTGACCTCCTAGATCAGCTGATTTGACGCGACTCGACTTTTTTTTGTGGGGGCGAATTAAATCGCTAGTTTATAACACAGAGATAACAAGTGCCGAGGAACTAAAAAATAAGATAATAACCGCCTTTGTAAAAGTGAAAAGTGACATTGCAGTATTATCTAAAATAAAACCACAATTGCGAAAACGGTCATTAAAGTGCATTAAACAAGGCGGTGGACATTTTGAAAATGTTTTAAAACGACAACGCTGTGCGAGTGCAAATTAAACTGTAAGTTTGTTTATGATCTTTAAATTATTGTAAATATTTTGATACACACCATTTAAACAGGCCGACTGTGTTTAACTTTGTCGTAGGTATTGTGGTGTCTATTCAAATCACGCGTTATCAGCTGTTTAATAATTCTTATTTACAAATTTAATTTAACAAATCAGTAATTATAAAATATTGGCTTCAAATTAAAAAGAAAATTCAATGTCAACAATCTAAAGCTTGAAAAGTGTGATGGAAAGAAAAATCATAATGTATGTAGTTATTACGTGTACTTATTATTACCTACTTCTTATTATTGTCGGACGGCACTCGGAGAGAGGGGCGCGGGCGCGGCGAGTACAGAGTGTCGCTGAATAGCGGACCATATTATTTGCACGAAATTGGGATAACTAATTTCACAAATAAAAAATTCAAACGCACATATAAATAATATTTGGTGTATGCATTGCATTTATATCATTATATACGCATTGGGGTATTTGAGGGTGTGCGTTAATTACGTTACACGTTGTATATACAAGTTGTAACATGTAAACACTATTAAAGGCGGTAGAAGTACCAAATAAATATACGAAGTTTACAATTTTTCACTCAGAAAATGTTTCAAAGTATTATCTAAGGGTCACCTGTGGCTGGTCGGGCATCGCTTTGGTTCGTCTTCGAGCGTCTCGCTCCAATAGCTGGAGATTTATTGAAGAAACACGCTGCAGGTGCGGCGCTGACACACGCAGGTCTGAGTCACGAAGAGCACGGGATTCACTGCACTCTTCTTGCTCCTGAAGAGAGAAAGAGAGGGAAATATTGTAGATACGCGAGTATTATAGTAAAGACGAGGTATGTTTGTCCCTCTTCTTTATAAGAAGATTATAAGCTATTGATTTCAAATTTAGTTAAAATCGAAGGAACGCTTACATTAATATTAATTATAACATTTAATCTATACAAATGTATCTAAATAAGTTAACATTAAGTACCTGCATGGCGGCCTGTCCAGAATTCATCTGTGGCGTTTCCGGTTTCCATTGTGAGTACACGTGCATCTCAGAGTCCATCCCCACCACCAAAATACCGTCTCGAACCCACGATATCTGCATCGGTAGCGGCGGCAAGCCGTCCGCAGTTTTCAGTTGTATTCTACGCAACTGCATCCATCGTATCTCCTCTACGAATAACGGGGCCGCGAGTGAAGACGCTTTACGTAGAATCGGTCGATTGTTATTTATCGATTCCTTCATAGCCTGAAATAAAACATTACAACCATTTAAATAGATTATATACAGAGCCTAACACATCAAGTGACCATTGAAATTCTTATTAATCACCTTGATATTAGCTTGGGCCAGATCACTCGAAACCGGTGTAAATAACAGAACTCTAGACCCGACAGCTACAGTCAGTATATGAGATCCATCTTCCTTAGACACCCAGTCCAATTGCACAAGATGTTTCTGTGTTAATGGACACGTATTCCCATTTTCCATAATGCTCTTGCGTAGCGACTGTAGAGTACTGAAGGACGGCACCGCTAAAAGGCCGGCCGCCTTCCCAGCGTCCGCCTCGCCGTTACGATTGTTGCGGCTCTCGTCCGACGATAAAGTTTGAAGAACCTTTAAAATATTTTTCAATATTAGAATGTGTAGTTCTGACTGACCCCATCACCATGTGGGATACACAGTAAGGAAGAGAGAGAGAATGTGTAGTTCTAGATCAAAAACTAAATTTATCATCGATTCATATGCAAATATTGATTGTAACAATTTTATCGGTAAAATAGTGTTAGGTACAAAAAAATGTCGATAGATGAAAGTCCGATAGAAAGTCTTCTACTTTCTATTAAAAGTATAAGCAACCTGAGTCAGCCGTTGTTTCTTCTGCATGAAGGACGTGTCATGTAGGTATGACAGGTCTATCTGCGTGTCTGCGCACACACCGACCCGCGGCAGGCTCACGTTCCTCAGCGGTATAGTGTCTTCTAACAACCACTCCGCGCCTCCGGTACTCTCACACTCGTACACACAAACGCACAAGTTCACGAACCGGGCGTCGGGACTCGAACTTGTGTTCTTTGGCCGCGTGAACGATCTACCGCACTTGTAAGCGCAAGCGATGCGACCGCTGTACGCTGCGCTTATGTGTAGCGGTTGACCTGTAAATTATATGAAAACACGATATAATATATTTATGAAACAAATACAGCAATATGAGATAAAGATCCAACCATAAATCCAAAACAGATAAACAGTTCTTTATAATTGACTAATGTGTAATTATTGTTTAAATGTAGCAAAATCATACCTGGAATGTCTATAGCAGATTCTTGATCTTTATTCATCATTTCCCATTCTTTCCAAGCGTAATCAAATTCATCGTTATCTTTTTTAGTGACGTCACATTTCCAAAATCTAAAAGTACAAAACAAATTTGTATTGCCATCAATCCATATTTTCCAATATACTATACCATAAAAATAGTGTTAAAAGTCGAAACTCTGGTATCAAATAGTCAGGTGATCGGGAATGAGACATATATCTCATTCCCGATCAACTATGGTCGTACTTTGTATATTAGTATAGTTTATAATAAACATATAATACCTTAATGTACTATCAGAGCACGCGGTGGCCAGTATATAAGGCGCCAGACACGCTGGGTATATAGAGGCGGAGCTGAGGTGTCCGGCCGCGGGGGTCGCGTGAATGACGTCCACTCCGTCCGGTAATGATAATGGACACTCGCACACCTACAAACAAAACATTTTATAGTGTATAAGACACAGAAATTGATAACATATTATATTAGAGCAAGGCTTCTAGTAAAGTTAGTAATTAATTATTAACACACTTGAATTCATTTAAAAATGTGGAACTTTTGGAGTTCAAGATAAAGATGCATCTCTCTTTGATGTGATAAAAAACTCATTACGTGTTTTTTTATTCATGATACAACGAGAATAATATTTTTAATTATATTCATAAGCATTTTTAAATCCTAAAAAAAGTGACAATTGGGAAAATTCAAGATGACCAACAATCTGGACTGACCAAGTAAAAAATGTTAACCCTTGTTACAAATTCCATTTTGTTGTCACAGAAATGAAACTACATCAATGCCACGAAAAATGTTCACCGACCATACTCATCAATCGAAATGTATAGGACCAAGTTATATACAAATACTAGAAGACCCGGCGAACTTCGTATCCCCCTATAGTCAAGAAAATCTGTTACGTTTTTTATTTATATTTTTGGAGTTTACCTATTAAAGCCAAAAATCTCCGTGTTTTGAAGTGCGACAGAATGATTAACATATTAGTTAGTTGTCAAATCTTATGTAAAAAAAAAAAGTTTGTATCAACAACTACTAATAAATTAAAAATTAATTAAAAAAACATTGTCCAGCGGACGAAATTGTGAATCTAAACTATTCCCAGAAGCCAGATCCCTTTGAACACACACAAAAAATTTCATCAAAATCAATATGTTCTATACCTTCTTAGTAGTTATAGAGAGATGCGAATGTGCATTGACCGGCGCGGGCCTCTCGTCCACACACACGGAGTTCTTCCTGGAGTCGCCCTCGTCTTCTTGTATGAGCGCGCTGTCCGGTACGTACATCATACTGTTGGTAAGATCATCTGTAACGAAGATAATGTTATTTATATTTACATTATGCATTTCATCTTATTACATGTAGTCGATATCAGACGTGTTAAAAGTATATTTAAAATTACGTTAGACTTCACGGTACTTAATATGGTTCTATTCCAACACTTTTTATTAAATTTTACGTATGAATAATTAAACAAAAAAAAATTATAAACAAAACGCAAATTACATGACTTTTTATCAGAATTTATCGATATAAATATTTTGAAACAGTTCGTGATCATTAGCAAATTTTGTTTTATAGAGATTTTTTATTCAAAAATACATACATAGTTTTATAAAAAAAATTATATATTTATAACTATTAATTTATGGCGGTAAAAAAAAACTATTTCTTTTTAAAGGCCACTGTATTTTTTTTATGTTAAAAAGTGGCAAACGAGCAGACGGGCCACTTGACGGTCAGTAGACAGCGTCGCTCATGGACATCCACAAGATGTATGTACGTTGCGGATGCGTTAAACCTAATAACCTATGTACATAAACAGACTACGTGTAAGACCCATACAAAGTTTTCCTCAATACAACATACCCGATGGATCAGCCTGGGAGCAGACCGTCAACCTCCACATATGCACGGTGGAGCCGCCGTCCGTCCTCTCCAGCACCACTATATAGAAGGGTTCGTTGAACACAGCAGACTTCCTCAGGTCAACTATCGCCTCGAGGCCACTCTCCGCGGGGTTCATATCTGAACCTTCCACTCCTGAGTCTGTGCTCTCAGAATCGCTGGAAGTCCGTTCGCCTGATACAAATAATAATTATTTTTTTTGATGGTGTTTAAAAATGTGTGTAACATTGCCAAATGTTGTAAATTGATTCTTCATATTTTTTTTTAATATAAGACAAAACTGCAAAATGTTCGTTTTATTGCGTCACATGCATCCAATAGTTAATAAATATATACACCAATGTTACCCAGATTGATAAAAATAATACTTATTACTACTTTTTTATTGCATTGCTCTGTGTGTGTCAAAGTTACCCATTTTATGAGGGTAACTTTGACACACACAGAATTGAGATTTTATACTACATAATTATATTGGTATGTTTTATAAACTTTCTGTGAATGTCTAGAAACGGAAAGTGATACAAGAGCACTGATAAAATAAAAAACATTCGAGTGATAGGTTTAATTTTTTAAATTTTGTATCTAATATGAATTGTTTGATGATCGGCACTCTACGAGATGGACATAGGATATTTTCCAACCATTCAATCGGACAATATATATTATTTAAAACCTGCTTATTCTAAAGAGGTCAAAGTCACGAGCGAAAACTAGTGTATATATATAGTTAAATAATAAACAATTATTAAACTAGCAACCCTCAAGCCACCTATATAAGAAGCGCCATTACTAACAATCTGACACTTTATTCTCAATTATTGTCAAGAGAAGAAACACTGCCCTAATTAGTCTCAAATATTAATAAATTGACCCTTGGCCGGCGAACGTTTGTTTTTAAAAATCATAACGTCTTTTTCATTTCCAACAATATATATATCTGTGAGTGTGTATGTCACTGAACTTCTCTCAAACAACTGGACCGATTTTGATGAATTTTTTTGTGTGTGTTCAAGGGCGTCTGGGAAAGGTTTATATTCACAATTTTGTCCGCTGGACAATGTTTTTTTAATTAATTTTTAATTTATTAGTAGTTGTTGATACAAACGTTTTTTTGACATTAGATTTGACAACTAACTAATATGTCAATCATTCTGCCGCACTTCAAAACACGGAGATTTATGGCTTTAATAGGTAAACTCCAAAAATATAAATAAAGAAACATAACTGATATTTCTTCATTATAGGGCGATACGAAGTTCGCCGGGTCTTCTAGTATATATAGATATATATTAACTGACCAGTAATAAGTTGTTCCTGGAACACGTGTAGTAACTGTGTATTGTGCCAGTCGTGTGTAGCGTCCGCTATAGCGTGCAACTGTATGATGGCCCCGGGCCGCGCCGTGGACTGCTGCGACACTATCTTTATACGGTCGTGGAGAGGAACGCCCCCTTCTGATACTGACGACTCGGATGACATAGACATCGTGTCGTGATGCTGGAAACGATAGTAGGGCAAATAATGATCTGATATAAGATTAATAGATTATATTTGGTTATATATTCTATATAAATTTTTAGAAACGTACGTTCACATAAATTAGAGCTACCACTAAGGATATATTCGTCCTAATCTTATAATTTATTTATATATAAATATTTTATTACTTATTTATATCGTGGTAATAATGAATTAGTAACATTTCAATATAATGATAAAAAAATATAAATTCAATTTTACTTATGTATTTAATTTTATTTTTAACTTTTGTTGTTAGACACAGTTTTTGAGATGTAATGTAATAATGATAAAATAGGTTTGTATTTTTAAAGAAATAAAATTAACATGCATAATAAGTAACTATAAAGGTTTCCTATATTTTATACAAAGTGTCATTCATTTCAAGCATACCATAACATCTTTATGGCGTCGTTCGGAAGTAGCGATCTCCGCTAACAGAGTGCGCGCGTCGATCACGGCTTGGAAAAGTCTAAGACTCTCACCGTCACTCGCCACGAAGCACGCTGACGGAGAGTTTGAAAGATTACCGAGTGTTGTACTGAAAATATAACACAAGTGATATATAATACATTATATAAACGAGTTATATTATTCGAAACTAAAATATTCTATCCGTTATTATCTCCGATTTTAGGCGAATATGAATTTTATGTAATTTCGACCGTAGTCTCAAAATTTAAATGCAGTTACAAATTCGATACTAATCTGTCCATCACAGATTAATAATTACAACTTTTTAATTTCTTTCTATTCGGCATTTAAATATCAGGACACTTTCATATTAAAAAGATTAAGTGTATCCAACCTTGGTAATAACGTAGGTAACCAGGCGACGTTACTAAAGGCTGACAAATGAGGCGAGTTCACGCGCGCCAATTCTGACACACCACCCGACTTGCCGAGAGGACCCACACACTCCACGCGCCACATCACTAACTCGGAGCATAGCCCGCCAGCCGCGGGGGAAGGAGACTCGCGGGTACTATCTGCTAACATGATGAAGATTAATACTTACTTAAACAGACGCATCTGTTTTATATTTATAGTTTAACTGGCCCACTATACGCATATTGTGTCTAATTTTTATTAATGCTTTTTGCTAATACATCTTACTCATATTATAATTGCGAAAGTTTGTGAGTGTGAGCGTTTGTTTGTTACTTCTTCATGCTCAAACGGCTGAACCGATTTTGATAAAATTTTGTATACAGGAAGCTAATGTCCAGGAATAACACATAGGCTACTTTACATCCCGGAAATCCGCGGGTAACATGTTAAATAATTAAGAGAATTAAAAAAAATGGAATATAAAAAGTTGTACAAACATGTTGCCGGACTAAGTAGTTGGAACTTGATTATTATTAAAACTTTTAGAAAGATCTTTCCACTCACCCGATATATTGTGATGGCTCGTAGTAAGCAGCAGAGGTAATACTGGATGGCAAGTGATGTCGTTGACTCTAAACCTGTGTCCGGATGCTCTTGAAGCGTGGCCTATTGAAAGCACCTATGGAAAAGATATATTTCAGATTTTTAAAGTTCAACGTTACTTTAAGTTATACCTTACAAAATAACTGAAGCCAGTATTTATAGTTTTCAAATACAAGTTGATATTTAAATGTTGCCGTTACAAAATTACAATTGTTCAGTATTGTAATTAATTATAATCAGTCATATAAATAATAATTATACTATATTTTAATTAGTACAGCAGTAATCATTAGAAAGACAAAAATTAATAAAATCTCCTATTGTAACCCAATGTTTCACTACTTGTCATATTTCATTTAGATTTCTTTAGCTTTATAATGATTGATGATTTTTTCTACATACTTGAGAAAATTTGGATTTATCATCGAATGTAAGTTGCCACAAGTTAAGTGTTCCGTTCGTATGGTTGGTCACCATCGATATAACGGGCGCTGATTCCAGTATATCACCATCTTGATTTTCCATTTCCTCGTTCGCTATGCTCGATTTTCTTTTCATATCATTATTATTTTCTTCTCGTGCTCCTGAAATATATATTTTTAAATATATTTTTTTATATATGTCTAAATTTTAAATTTAAATGAGATTTAAGATCTTTGCGAGTATTCATTTAAATGAAACTAACATTTTTGATATTTTTTTATTATTTTTTAAATTACATAACCGTGATTACGGGCCTATTAAATGTTAGATATTCTTTAATACCAATTTATGTTTATAATATTATGTGACTAATTCTTTACCGTTTTCCTCTGTCGCATTTTGGTTATCGTTCTGCGGCCAATCATTTTCTTCTTTCTCCTCCTGAACGCTCGCTAACGGAGTCGTAACGGTTTCTCCTTGTTGTGGTTGTCCTAATGTTAATAAAACTTGAAGTCAGTGAATTACATATATTTATTTTATTTATAGACAGTCATAATAGAAGGTGTTCGTGTATGAAAATAATTTAAATTCTGTGTTACTTTCAAAAGAGGCTACTAGAATCGTCGTCGATCCTACTCATGTTAATCTATAAATGGAATCTCTTTTTTAATATAAATTTGATTATTATTAAAAAAAAATAAATGAGTTTTCACTTTATTCCAACAAAATAATTGAACTTTCATATTGATCACTCACAAAATTATAGTTAACATTATTTATCTCATATTGGGAAAAAGATTTAACATACTTTACAACAAAATATTTAACCATCTAACTCAGGCGTTTCCAGAGTTACTTTGTCTTTGTCACTTTGATATTAAATTATTTTTTAACAAGGCCCTTTTTCATCTACAGAATAACTTTTAAACTAAAATTAGCAATCAACCCCAGGTCTACAATTTTTTAGACCTTCCTTCATCGTCCACAAGATGGCGTTATGGTCAATATATGGCGTTATGGTCAATGGTCAATCTGGTTATTACCGGGCGTGACTGGTTTAGTTCGGTGTCTGACGTATAATGGCTGAGCGGCGGCGTGGTACAGCGCGGCCGGCGTACACATAGTGGTGGCATCTCCTAATGGGAAAGCGCACGGAATGCGGGCGCTGTATGACACTTGAGCCTGGCGGATTGCACCCGCTTGGAGCTCGTCCAACCACTCGCAGATCCTGGATATCGAATATTATAAGTTCTGTTAATATGGTAAGGATGTTAAGGGTACTGTGAAATGATAAATCATATAAATATTTGGTATGAAACATTCAAACTCCAATTCCCGAACCCAGCCAAATAAATTTAATCCGTATATTGCAGGTTTGAATCCTGATTATGTCAATGAATTTATTTGTATTTTAATTCAAGTATTAACTTGACATTGCTTTAATATTTAAATTAAACGAAAATTAAAGTTGATTTTTCCATTGAAAGTTACATAATTATCGACTTTGTAACAATAGCATTTAAATTTTAAAGCGAAAACAATTTTTCAGCAGACTTTTTTAAAGATTATAAAATGTTAGAGAGAAAGATTATTATCACATCATTTCTACTGTAGTGAATTAGATTTTTAATCTTTGAACTAAAATTAGACCCATACCATATCAAGAAACTGCCATCTACAGGGTGTATAGAGAACAATAGGTCGGGACTCTGGTGCCAGTCCCTCAGCAGCGCCTCTATCTTCGCGTCCAACGAGTCCGGGAGGTGTGTACACGTCACGTCCGTAGCTATCGAGTTTATGGACGTGGTGTTTGATAGACTCGGGTGACTGTGGTTGGCGCTGCCTGGAAGTTTAATGTTCCAAATTCAAATTGAGACGTTTGATTATGACAGTTGTTTAAAGTTCCATATTCAAATTGAGACATATTATGATTATGATACTTGTTTAATGTTCCATATTCAAATTCAGATACTTGAAAAGATATGCTGATAGATAAACAATTCGTATTGACACAGATTAAATATTTAAATGTTATTCAATGCTTATAGATAACATATATATGGACCAGTCATTTATAGGAATTGAATTTATCATGGTGTATGTGAGAGTCAAATTGCATATTGATGTAGATTTTGGAAGTTTGTCTCAGAGGTATCATGGGTAAGTATTAAAGATGATCCTTTATTGTTAAATTGTCAGTATCATACGATAGGCTTTGTACTCTCGAGAATCATCGTGATAAGAATATGAGTGAGTAACTACACACAGTGTAATTTGAGTGGCATATTATATGTATATATTTACTTAAATATAATGTAAAAGAAAATTACCATTAGTATAACAATAATGTCATTGTTATTCCATTGATATGTTCGTATTGTAGTATAAGATATAGACAACCAAATCTAATACTCTGAATAGACTATTCAGTATTAGATTTGGTTCTTATCCAGTGGCGGCTGGTGGGTAATCGAACCGGTGGTGCACTTTACTAAAATATTAAAATTAGAAAATGCAACAAAACATAACGAGATGTCAATCATGGCTCAATTCGTCATACATCGGGTGCTCTCGGTAACCTTCGGCCGCTCGTGCGGCGCTCGAGAACCGACTCATTACTCGGTACATTTCTATGAACTATCTTTTGTTTCACGCGTCAGGCGTATTAATGCGTATCTCATACAAGATGTATTAGCCGTCCTCATGCACTCGCCGAAGCGCACGATATTAGTTTAGTAAAGCGCTCAAACTTTTTGACCATAATTAGGAAATTTAATTTTTTATACGTTTTTATATGTTTAAAAAATAAATATTAAAGTGGTCAGTTAATAACAAAGATGACATAATATTTTGTAATTTTTAAATCTTTTGAATTGGTGGTTCAGCGCACGAGTGCACTTAAGGCACAGCCGCCACTGTTCTTATCTATATATTTCTCTCTATATACTTGGTACGAGCGTCAGCGTGTTGTATGTAAGTATTGCCGCAATGTATTTACCTGGTTGTTCATCGCTGTTGCTGTTATCCTCAGATAGAACTTTAGTTAAATGATGACTTGGCCGCCTATGTCCTACATAGCAGCATGAAATCGCGCATAAGCGAATATAAGCAGAATTAAATATATTGCACTTGATAGCGGTTTAAAGCTATTAATTATGGTATATGTACCGGAATAGCGATAAAATTTGTATACTAAGAAAATAGTTTAAGATACAATTTGATGTAAAATGTTGTCTACTTAATATGTAGTATTGTAGTACACGTACTATTTTCATTTTCTCCGTCCGGATGTGTGGTGTGATCAGAACCTGAGCCGCCTTCGTCAGTTTCTTCCTTATCTAAAATCTGAAAATTAAATTATTTATTGTTAGTATATTCCATTACTATTAGATTCTGGAATCATATAATTTATTGCATACATAATGTAACAGTCCTACTGAGTAGGTCTAGAAAAACATATATTTCGGAAAAAGAATAATTAATGATGTTTTTAACAGTCATATTGTCTCGAGTTGCTTATAATAACTTTCGTAGATAATTGCCCACACCGATGCCCAAAGAAATTGTTCCATCGAAGCAAACGATTTTTTGTTTAGTTTAAATTATTAAGTGACGGTCTCAGTGACTATTTACTGTTTTTTGTAGTGCAAAGCTACCTTCTTAGTGAGATCGTGCAATATAGCTTCTGCCTGGCTGGTGAAATGCATTTCTTTGTTGTGCAACCAGTGTAAGATGAACCGCCCCCCGCCAGCTAATGACGGAACCAAAGGAATGTCCGTCTCCGCGTTGATAGATGCTGCCAGATGGAAGTGTAAGCCTGGAAATCATAAATTATATATAGTTTTACATTACATTAATATGACCAGTATGATTTTTTTTATTAAGAAATTAATGACGTAAATATTTTAGTAAATATTTTGAATAATATAAATTTCAGCAACAAATAGAACTTATTTCAGAGGTTTTTGCCAATATCATCTTCGTAGGGACAAGGTGTTAATCAACTCATGGTATACAGAAAATCTTTTAATTTTATAGCTTTTAAATAAAACAATTTCTATCAAACAAGTGACAGTTTAACAAATAAAATCAATGTTGTCAAACGACAAAGGAATCTATCAATATTTTTCATGCATTTCTATGCCATAAAGGATTTATAATGCTTTGATTTCCAGTTAAGTATCACTTGTAAATTTATACCATGATACATTTATTTTCTTAAAAGTGGAGTGTTTCCATTGACTGAATAGTCGTGGGTAATAATATATACCAGACAATAATGCCACTATTATATATAATATAAGTTACCTCCTGTGTAAGAAGTGGAGTGGTAGGGGTTGTGGAAGTCGTGCGCGCTGTAGGTTGAAGGCAGGGTGGGGATGGGCGCGCCCGGCTGCTTGGAAGACTGGGCCGTGCGCCGGATGTGGAAACATGTCCTGTTGGATATAGGTTATACTACCGACATCGAATCTTACTATTTACGTGGCCTTCATATATTTTCATGGCTTTTTTATATTCAATATTCCATTTGACCAATTTTAGGGTACAAGTGGTTTTTGCGTATATGTGATAATCATAGATTATTGAGGATATTGTACAATTTTTCTAGGACAGTACCATAATAATGAAAACATCTTATATATACTAACTTCATATGTTTCAGCCGTTGCATGAACCGATGTTTGTGTCTGTGCGTGGCCCTCTGTCTTCTAGGCGGTGATCGTGCGTGTGTGGCGCAGCCCCATTCATCTTCGGGCAGCAGAGTCTCGGCCCATACACGGCAGATATTATCCACGCATGACGTCACTAGCACATTACCCACGCTACCCCTATACAAGATTTAGACTTTAAATAAACTTATCACTACTTTTATGAACGTATTAACAAAAAATATATACGTCTGCAAGTTTGATTATCATAATCTCCAAACACTTAGAATAAAAGTTACTCACTTAGGCATATATTTGCTAGTCTTCCTCCAGGACAAATGTGTGACCGCGCGAGGATGAGCCACGTATATGAAGGTATAGTTTAGTTCCGGAGAAGAATGTTCGCCTTGCGCTTGGACCAAAACTGACAAAAAAATAGCATCATTATTATGAAGAATATTATTAGCTGATTAATATATTTAGATTATTCGTACCCTGACAGAACTTAGTTACTTGATTTGACTATTCATTTTTAGTGATATGATTTGAATAAATGTTTATAACTATACCTTTATTTTGGTACCATATTTTGACGAGACGGTCGTTGACCCCAGAGGTAGCAAACAGGACACCGTCCGGTGAGAACGCTAGGTGGTGTGCGGGCGTCGCCGTGTGACATTGCCATACACACAACCAACCCTACACATATACATTCAATATAGAGAAAAATAATTGGGCAAGTATAAAATATAACTGGAATAAAAAAGAACGCCTTTATTTAATTAGAGTTTAGACAAACTATATTATTTCGAGTTTTCTCCACACAGTATACAAAATTGTATTTAATTAATCCAAGAAATCAAATGTTGACTTTGGCAAAGTATTCCAATATTTGAGTGTGAGTGAAGAAATAGCATAAAAATAAAAAAGGATATATATTTTTATATTAAAGGCTTTTTTATTTAGCATTCTTAATTTGAAATTTAAAAAAAAAACTTTAAAGAAACATTTTAAATAAAATATATCATACATGACGCCTTAACGCCTTAATTTTTGTACTAACATATAATTCAACTAGTTAAACGTTGGTGCGGAGTATTTTTCAGGGTGATGTCTAACATAATGTATTATGTTATGAGAACAATAAATATCATCTCAATCAGGATCACGTATCTCATAACAATATGTTGATAACATTGTTAATGCACGTGAGTTTTGATTGTGTTAGTTCTATCTTATCTGACGGCTCTATAAACAGATCATTCACTTACCGGTTCGTCCTCCTCCTGTTGTTTTGGTTTCTCGTCTTTGTCTCCACCTATCTGGAATGTCACTCCGGAACTTGCTGAAATTATGAAACAAATAAGTTTTATACCATTAGGGGACATAAAGTAAGTCCTATCCTACCTTATTTAAGGTGAGGGGGGGAAAGTACAAAAAGTAACGTATTTTTTTGGAACTTTAAAATTTAAAAAAAATTACTTCGAGAATTAATAAACGACTTTTCTTTTTAAGAATTATTGTGTTAATTGCGGGATTTACCGAATATCACCAAGAAGGGGGGGGGGGGGGGAGACGTAAAAATTTAAAAAAATATCAGATTACAATAATTAACGGATCTCCTTTTATATGTACTTGAAGATCGATATATTTTGTTATATTGGAGAAAATAAGGTCACGAATTGTGTTAAGTTAATTTTCTTTTTCTGTATCTGGAAATGCACTTTCCTGATTACCGTCTACTGGCATCGAGCCAGATTAAATACATATAGACGCAATAAATCCACTAGCTATAGCAACTATACGGTGGTATTTTGACAATATAGCAGAGATATTGCCATATAAATTTTACATTTACATAAGCTATGGTTATAAATAATAAATTTTTAACCAACACGCTGTTTCGTGTGAATATATTGCAAATAACATTAAATTGCGTAGCCTGCGTTGCAACGATCGACTCCACTACATATAAAATAATAAAGAATTATAATTTTATATTATATTACATTATAAAAAATTTAACAGCAGTTATATTTGGTTAAAACTTTAACAATATCAATACGTTTGAATTAATAATATTATTGATATGTATCCTCGTTTGTGTTGTTAATCAATGAATAATATAATTATCATCGAAGCTACATCATACAGTGGTATTATTTCTTACACGTGCTATAAAAAATATGCCGATCATTTAATAGGTTAATTTCCATTTAAAACATACATTCAAGTGATGCTGAATTCAAAAATCAATCCAATGTGCGCAACATGATAAAAGGCGACTTGGGTATATCAAATAAGACTTTATGAGAGTATACTAATTGAGTAAAAAAAAGTATTTATATGTATAATTAGGTTAACAAGCGTATTCGTAATTAAAAAAGTACATCAATCGATTTTCCGATAAACGTCAAACATTTACTTGTAATACTGGCTGACGATTATGTCGCGTGTTGACTGAACTTCAAATCTTTTTTATGTAAAAAATCGATATTTATTCGACTGAAATAATGACCTTATTTACAACGTGGATACAAAATTTATTTAATCTAAGTAGAGAATTGTTTCAATTTGACCCCAAAACTGTTGAATCGATAAAGTGGTAACCAGAAAACTTGCTGGAAACGTGCCAGTGCGGCACTTTATTCATGATACTGAGTTTCGTCTTGTTGGTGCAGAGCTTGGGTTATCGTTCCATAAAGTTTCCTTTGTATTAATACATACAAGTAAATAACATAATAAATGTAGAAGGTTCTAGTAGCTAAGGGACAAAAAATCTACTCCTATACCCTGTAATTAGTGTAAAATACTCAGACAGTTACGTCAACAATCATTAAGTTACGAATTAAATGTCATCCGAAATAGCAATTTAGCTGTCCGGATTAAACATACGGTCGCAATGAAATATTGATTTCACGACTCATAACTTTTGTACGTCCAGACTAGTCTAGACCGAAGAGCGATAAGTGATCCGTGAACTTCTAACAATAAGAATATTTAGATATCGTACGTGTTAAATTTTTTACGTTATTACATCGCATTCATTTTCATGTTCGCACTACGATATTATCTTATAGGTTTATGTATAGAAATCGTTAATTGCAAATCCTTCAAGACCAAAAAGTTCTTATCTATATATATAAAAGAAAGTCGTGTTAGTGACTTCACTTATAACCCAAGAACGGCTGAACCGATTCAGCTGAAAATCTATATATATAAAAGAAAGTCGTGTTAGTGACTTCACTTATAACCCAAGAACGGCTGAACCGATTCAGCTGAAAATTGGCAGGGAGGTAGTTTAGAACCAGGAAATTGCAATAGGGTACTTTTTATCCCGTTCGACAGTATTCCCGTGGGACTTAACATGAAACGTCAGTCACTATAAAACGTGGAATAACACAATTGACAGCTATGCTATTGACGTATAATGACAGATATGTAATGACGTATGGATGACAATTAGATATTTGTAAGAAATCTACTATATAAAAATAAAAATATTTAGGTAATGTGTTTGTAGTTTGAACTCTTAAAACCATTTAGTATTTGCGGGATAAATTTAGAAAATCATTGTTTTTCACATGGGCGTTATATTTTGCGTGTTCACGAGTTTGGAAACCATCCGCTTTATTTGTGTTAAAGTTAGACAAAAAAACAAAAAATGTGGTTTACAAAGGACCACTTCAATGAAACGGATAATTTGAGGACACGTATTACGCTTCGCTTCGGAATCTACTTTGGATTCACTTTCATTTACTTAGCGAAGTTTAACTAAATAACACTCCATTTTTGTAATCGAAATGAATTCATTACAGTTGTGAAATGAAATAAAAATTTTCCTTTTCAAATATAAAACAAAACAATTCTTCATCTTCTAATCACCAAACGAAATGTTATATAAAAGCCTTCTGGTGGCGAAACGGAGTTCGCCAGGTTTACTAGTATTATTATATTACTCACGTTGACTGTCATCCTGGTACAAAGATGCCTGGTGCCATAGCTGTAAGATCTTCCCTCCAGTGAGGAGGCGCGTTCCCTCCAAGTTCCACGATAATGCTGTGATAGGACCGTCTGCCACCAACTTGCCAGTCTGAACCCATCTGTACTCCAGACCCTGGATTATGATTTATACTAAACATGAGTCGATAAATGATTATCTTGTACATTATGTTTATTTGGTCTCGTGCGTATTATCTTCCAAAATTAATTCCTAGTAGATAACTGAGCTGCATTACTTAAATAAAAACGATAAAATATATTCGTACTTAAAATGTCATTTAGATCGAGGACATTAAGAAGTAATATTTCTAATAAATTCATAACTCTCTTTTGTATTATTTGTATTTAATATGTTTAAATGAAGTTGATAAAGGTTACATAAGGAATATATGACCTTGACCGCTATCGTCTAAAGGACGCTACTTTTTTGTTCAACAAATAATAATATCCACATTGCTTTATAGATAAATTAGAATATCTAAGAGATGAAATATGAGATGTTAATTAGATTGAACGCAGGGTATCGGCTGTATCTCGACAGGATACCGAGCGAAGATAGAAATCACGGTCCATCAGTGGCGTAGCCTTCACAGTCCGCCCAACGATATGAGATCTCTATTTTTATATCTCAAAGAAATTAATTTACTCGCTGACGGAGATTATCTAGACGTTTTAATCTTTAATCTCTTCCTTGACAACTCTCTTGACATTATATATTATATTATTTAATTTTACTTTCACGTCACTACGGTTAATTTAATTGAATGCTGACTCACAAATCGTTTGATCCTAACGTTTCTATATTTACAAAATAAATGTCATTGTAAAGTGACTGTAAAGTGGACGCCATTACAATACATTATTATGAAGAGCAATTTAATATAAGTACGATTGAGTGTAACGAACACATGCATAATAGTTAGTCGGGTTCATATCGTGTTTCCCGCAAGGTCATTTATTAAATTGTATATGAAAAAAATACTATGCAATGATGAACCATCGTTTAATAGTCTTAGAAATAAAATGTATTTTAATTGGCGTATCGTATAACAAAATCCATTGTCCACTGTTCAACAACAGAACGTAATACCAACATCAAACAGAATAACTTTTATCATTAACCTAAATTTGTTCAGCGCTGGAATGCTGAATGGGAGAATCACGCTATCTTCGCATGTAATTTAACAGAAAAATCTATTTGATCATTTAGCGCCAAGGTAACGCTCGAACGCTTTATTAGTATTTCGTCTTTACTTAATCATATTACCAGAAGCCTGAGGCCGAAATTCTCCATTGTTATGTCATTATTTTATAATATACCTATACCATAAGTAAATTCTATCGCTTAAAAATAATAAAAATATTCTGTCTTATGTATCATTATCATACATTAGCATATAGCGCTATATAAAAAAAACATATTACATTCGATAATATAAAAATAAACCTAATAACAAGTTATATCTCATGATTAATTAATTAATATGTGTGATAAATTGGTTTAATTACTCTCTAGACCAAACAGTAGGAACTATGGATATATGTGTTCATAAATGGTAACTTTTTAAATAAAATGTATGTGAGATTGGTTTGGAAACTTAATTTTACAACAATTAATTTAATACGAATTTTTGGAGGAACTAGTTTAGTTGTAACGTAATTTTAATCTCTTTACCATTTACTATTACGATATCATTATTATATTTGTAGGAGGGCGTTATAAGAACAGGAGGGCCTTCATGGGAACTCATACTTTGAAAGGGATAAAGTACAGTCTATTCAATACGACACCAACTCAATCGAAACACTAGATATCACTATCACTTCGATACACAGCGATTCGTCACGAGCGCGGTGCGCGGGCGTCATCTCGCACGATACTTCATAATAAAGATGGCCGCCCTCGCTACCATCACAATGACGCTTCACTAGGCTAACCTCAGACAGCTAAAAGTCAACCTGACGTATGATTTTTGACGGATGCGCCGTCACGGCCGGACTGACATTCGACCGTCCTCGGGCGGTTCTCGGATCAATGAACTACAGTTGTGTCTATTCCGTTCGGCATCCTGACAAACGACTAGTTACAATCATCAAAATGTGCTATGGTACTTAAGACTTAAGGCGAGCATCTCGTAGCAATTAAGCCAGACGACAACATTCATCTCACCACAATGTTCAAAGCATCCAGAACAAGTCAACCAACTTAAAGGGCTCTGACCCGGACGACTACATTCGTCTTGCCACAATGTTCAAAGCATCCAGAACAAGTCAACCAACTTAAAGGGCTCTGACCCGGACGACTACATTCGTCTTGCCACAATGTTCAAAGCATCCAGAACAAGTCAGCCAACTTAAAGGGCTCTGACTCGGACGACTACGTTCGTCTTACCAGAACAAGTCAGCCAACTTAAATGGCTCTAACTCGGACGACTACATTCGTCTTACCAGAACAAGTCAGCCAACTTAAATGGCTCCTGACTCGGACGACTACGTTCGTCTTACCAGAACAAGTCAGCCAACTTAAATGGCTCCTGACTCGGACGACTACGTTCGTCTTACCAGAACAAGTCAGCCAACTTAAATGGCTCCTGACTCGGACGACTACGTTCGTCTTACCAGAACAAGTCAGCCAACTTAAATGGCTCCTGACTCGGACGACTACGTTCGTCTTACCAGAACAAGTCAGCCAACTTAAATGGCTCCTGACTCGGACGACTACATTCGTCTTACCAGAACAAGTCAGCCAACTTAAATGGCTCCTGACTCGGACGACTACATTCGTCTTACCAGAACAAGTCAGCCAACTTAAATGGCTCCTGACTCGGACGACTACATTCGTCTTACCAGAACAAGTCAGCCAACTTAAATGGCTCCTGACTCGGACGACAATATTCGTCTTACCAGAACAAGTCAGCCAACTTAAATGGCTCTGACTCGGACGACTTCATTCGTCTTACCAGAACAAGTCAGCCAACTTAAATGGCTCTGACTCGGACGACAATATTCGTCTTACCAGAACAAGTCAGCCAACTTAAATGGCTCTGACCTGGACGACAATATTCGTCTGACCACAATCTGCAGAGCATCCAGAACAACTCAGCCAAACGAATGAACGATGATCGAGACTCCAATGAGCTAGCCCCATCATCTCCACTACTTATACTCATGTGAGTGAACGATGACCCGGACATAGACTCCACAGAGCTAGCCCGTCCATCTTCACAACCTGATCAAGCGTCGACCGGACGTGGACTCCATCGAGCCAGCCCCTGCACGCTTTGATCCATCACTACTAGAAACATCGGCCGCATCAGCCAGTTCCATCGCCACCTCAAACACACCAACTCAAACTTACACAACTCATTTATGGTTTATCAATGTTGGAGGCCATCAGAGCTACTCAGCTACTCACTTTCATCATCTGACATAGCTTCGTTTCCATTCTCTCCACTCCATGACCCGCCGTCTCGGCCTCCTCATTACTTAGTTCAGTGGATATGTCAACTAACCCTTCAAAGCCTCTGGGTACTGCGCCCAAGTTTTCATGAGAGTATTTTAAAGTGCAATTAGATTCATCGGTATGTTTCAGTTCGTACCTATCGTTGTCTAGAATTTTAGTTATGATAAAAGGTCCCCTAAACTTTCTTTGCAGTTTAGTTTGGTAACATTCGCTACACTTAACAAAAACGTAATCTCCCCGAGAAAGAAAAAAAGGTTTTACTTGGGCTTTGCCTTTACTAAATTTAACTATTTCCTTTTGATCTGCGTTTTCAGTGTTGAGGGAAGTTTTATTCCGGATATTGTCTAAATCTAATCTCGGCTCGTTTGAATTTTGGGCTATTAATGATATCCCTAAAGATTGCGCGCGAATGCCAAACATTAGTTCTGTTGGAGTATATCCTGTAACACTACGGCTTGTGTTATTAAGTGCTAGATGACTCTCCCAGATCAGAGTAATTTAGTAAGATGGGGTAAAGGTACCGAAAACACTTGCTATATCTGCGGAAAGGCAGTTGGAACTGCTAAGCATTTGCTAGTGAGATGTAAGGTTCTCCTGGACAGCGGTCAATTCTCGCGTCGTCACTATAGGGTTTTAGAGATCATACTTGAAGCGGTTAGTCTTTCGGTAGCCAGAGCGCAAAGGGAAATAACCACAAACGAGCGATCAATAGGTTTTGTGAGAGAGAGCACCAGGGCTATAAAATCAAACGTCAAGCCTTACTCTATCCTTAAAGCGGCTTCGGATTGGACTATCATGATGGATACGTATGAGAAACAACACAAAATCCCCGAGGATATTTGTGCGTCAGCCTCCAGACCAGACATATTTCTATATTCGCGTATTTTAAAGCGCGTTGTGATGATAGAGCCTACGGTGCCTTGGGAAACCAACATCCCCAAAGACCATGCCATCAAGGTCATTAAGTATTACGAGCTCACTAACGAACTAACTCGAAATAGGTTCGTCCGCGGTAGAGGTGGGAGCGAGAGGCATAACAGCCAAATCTCTCTACAACCTACTAAAAGACTTGGGCCCGTCCAGAACCAACATTAATTCATTCTCGGAACGTACGTCGAAAGCAGCCCTAGCAGGTTCCTTCCAAATTTGGCCAGGTAGGGAGAGGAACTTGGACAGTGGAGGTGAGCGTACAACGCGCGTTAGTTAAGGGGCCCCTTAAACCCACACCTGGGTCGCAAGTCCCAGACACTGCTGAAGCTACCCTCCCTGCAACGCGATGGACCCGGCACCCGCACGGTGAATCCATTGAATGCTAAGCGGTTTCGTCCCTTGTACCTCAGGAAGTTTGTCACGCCACGTTTTATGGGTATCGTTTTCTATAATAGTTAGCAGACATTTTAAAATCTGCATGACCCTTTCTACTTGACCGTTGGCTTTATTTGCCCCTGTTGTTATAAAGTAAAGTTCTATACGAGGTGTTTTACTCAATTCTCTAAAGTCCGCGCTTACAAAGCCCCTTCCCCGATATAACAATTCGCTTGAGAACACCGAAAAGAGAAACAGCTTTTCTCAACGCTTTAATAGTACAACTGGCATCGAGGGATATAGTATGCTCTTAAAGGACATACTTGATAACATAATCAATCATTACTGACGCGTATTTCTTTTCTGTCGCTTTTGCCACTTAATGTCCCAGTCATATCTATGTGAATAGTATGCCAATAAAATGTATGCAAATCCGTAGGAGAATTTACATGGCCAAAATAGCAATAACCCCACTGAATAAAATTTGGAGAGATAGGAAAATTATTAATGGAACAAAAATGCATCTGATACGAACGCTTGCCTTCTCTATATTTCTATCTATCTAGCTATCCGATTCTGTATAGTGCAAAGACGTGGACTATGAAAGTCGTTGACAGGCAAAGAATTGATGCCTTAGGAATGTGGTGATGACGAAGTATGTTACGCATACCTCGAAATATGGTCAGCGCTTATCTAATATCTATTTGCAGCACATACTGGCGTTGATTGGTCAGTTCCCTGACAGAACTACGGACAGCTTTAAACGTCCGCTAGTGATTGAAAAAGTGGACGGTAACCGAACTAGAGGACTAAATCCCAAAAGGTGACTGGACCAAATCCCAGAACACCTAAAAATACCTGCCTGCGTTGCACTCCATCAAGAAACTAAACGTGTCTATCTCAGTATGGATATGGTTGATTTAAGTCCATACAAGGGACTGATGGACGATAGGTTACCAACGACTAACTTTGTTTCGCTCAATTTTTTTTCGATATAGCATATTGTTTCTAACATCGTAGATGTGACTAATTGAATCGGGAAACTTATTATTTAAGAGCTGAGCAACAATATCTTGAACATATGCATCACGTTTTTGTTCTACCGCTAACCACCCTTGATTTACCTCTACAAACTGCACAGACTTATTAACTACTTGAGCCTTGCTTTTGTCGCTCTTGGAAGTGCCCTGCTCAGGGTCATCTATGTACTCTCGGTGTTAATTTTTTTTTTTTTTTTTTTTTTTTTTAACTAAGAAGCTTTGAAAGGATTGCCACCCGTGAAAACGATAAAATGATGACCATATAGCTTTTGCTTCAAATATTCTTCCGCTCGAACGACTGCCGAGGTCTCAAGTTCATAAGAATGATACTTTTATTCCGTGTCAGTTTTCCGGCGACTGAAATATGAAATAACGTGAGGAACTCCGTTCTTTCATTTAATTAAAATGGTACCGTATCCGTTGGCGCTGGCATTCGTGTGTAATTCTATAGGAGGCTCGCGATCAAATATAGTTAGAATAGACTCCGTGGTAAGTATTTGAACTATCCATTTACGAATATTACCGTGGACTTCTGACCGTTTAATTAACCCCTTTAACTTAGTGAGTAGACATAAGGATCGTACTAGGCGGAAATAGTTCGGTATAAAATTTCTAAAACAAAAGGCTTACTATAAGAATTGGTGTTAATCTCCCTAGAGTCAACATACATTATGTCAGAGTTGTCATTCGGTTTTTTTTTTTACAATTAGAATGGGGCTTGATAAAGTGTAAAATGATTGTTTCAAAGAGGGCATCCATTTTTTTTTTTTTTCGAACAACCTCTTATAATTTGTAAGGTCTCTCTTAGACTATGTTAGGGTCTAAAGAATTAGGGTCTAAAGAGTTAAGAGGTGCCCTTAATAATAAAATGAGTTATACTTCTTAAAAACATCGATAAGGGCTTTGTTATCGTCGCCTTCCAAATAAGTTTTGATACAAGAAAAGTTAAGACTGTCTGAGGTTGGGCACTTATCTGTTTTTGTCGTTTCAGGTTTTGAGAAAATAATGTAGTCACTGTTTATCTCTCCTTTAACCCCCCACTCTACAAGGTACCGTCCAACAACCACGGATTCAAGAATAATATTCTCTTTAATAATATGAAACAAAAGAGACACTGAAACACTTTGAATTATGACCGGGCTTAAAATTTGTGTATTACAATAAGTCTATAGACGTAGAAACACTAATAATAATTGACTGTTAATGTACACGAAGTATGACTAGAGTATTCAGTACCGAAGCGCAAGGTTGAATGACCTTTATTCGCTAATACGATCTAATATTAAAATCTTACGAAGTGGTGGGTAAGCGTGAAACTCATATCGTCGCCCGTTCGCTTCGACCGTATACTACGCGTTCAGATGCCTTTCAGGGGAACTACTTCATTGCTCAAAGTACACAGAAATTTATTTGAAAAATTTTCAGATACAGACACACATTAGTACTACATGAACAAGTACACCCACTACTAAAAAGAAAAGGAACAGTCTCACCAGATGACGTCGTCAACTCCCCTCGGCTCGGCCCATGGTCACACAGATATCTCCTTCACCGGCGAGCCTCAATTACCGGTACCTTTTACGATCAAGACACGACGAGACGTCCTAACCCTTATATCTGCTTCCGTACGATCCAGATTGAACCGGATCAACTACGTCGTCGAAGTTAGTTGAGAAGTTGACATTATTTTCATCGACAAGTTTCTCATTATTTTTTACAAAGTTTAACATAGATGGATGATCACTACTCTCCTCATTTTAAAGCCCTTTCGATCCCACTTCTGATGTAGGAGGGCGTTATAAGAACAGGAGGGCCTTCATGGGAACTCATACTTTGAAAGGGATAAAGTACAGTCTATTCAATACGACACCAACTCAATCGAAACACTAGATATCACTATCACTTCGATACACAGCGATTCGTCACGAGCGCGGTGCGCGGGCGTCATCTCGCACGATACTTCATAATAAAGATGGCCGCCCTCGCTACCATCACAATGACGCTTCACTAGGCTAACCTCAGACAGCTAAAAGTCAACCTGACGTATGATTTTTGACGGATGCGCCGTCATATTTTAAATAACAATATCAACAAACATTATTTTTAAGTTGTCTATAAATATATTATCGAATATCGGTTTTCGCGGTTATTTTTTATTATCAGCAAATCTTAATTATTAGTTTTAAATGTCAGAATATAAGCGAGAAGAAATATCAACAAACCAACTTTTAATATATTCATGTTATTTATAAATAAAACATTTTATATTTAACCTTGATTTTTGGTTAAATTGAAGAAAACATGCCATAGTTCTGAATTTTGTGATAGATTGCTAATTGACAACACACTACAATCTAGATTACATTCAACCTACTTTAGAATAAGTATATCTTTTTTCTTATAAAATTCCGAAGTGTCCATCTCTAGGCCTATTATTCAATAAGTGTGTCAAGGTATAAAGAAAAAAATACGTCCGCCATATTGGGTCTAAACATGACATTGTCATTGGATTTATGTACCTTACACTATTTAATAAGACTAAAGTGATGTAATTCTAATTAATTAAACTTGACCAGGCAGTTTATATGAAAAATTTGTTATTTAAGCCTACATAGAGTTTCGTGATAAGTAATTAGCTTTATTTTGAATGAATAGAATAAAATAAAAGCAGAGTAATTTTTTATGATATGCATATAACAAAGTCTAATGAAGATGAAATTTAAGACAAAATACAATTCTACTTTTTTTCAACATATCACTCTTCAGTGGATAAGTTAAAGCAATAAGAGCATTGGGAAATAGTGCTTTGGGCTTTCCATGTCCATTATTTTATACAGGCAGAAATAATTACTGCAAATTATAAATATCTATTAAGGTTCTAAAAATTACTTTGTAGAGAGGACAGATCGCTTCTGAATAGAATTTTTTTTTTCTATTTACCTATTAGTTAATTTATTGCTTAGCTCGGAAAAACAATTACTTGATAAGAACAGTTTTGTATTCACACAAATTTTATCTACAGACAAAACTTGAAATTTATCAGCCAGTCAACTTGAATTAGTGATGTAGATGTAAAAAACTATATACAATATAATATTAAAATACTATAAAACTACAATATACAGGAAACTTAATTTTTTTAATTAATAAATTACATATTTTACTGATGAAGGCATAAAGAGGAAACATACTATATATAAAGATGTAACAAAACTTTATATACAGAGGCTGTTTACATAACAATGAGTCATAATATTTATATCTTATCTTTTATCTTAAAATCACACTTACAACTATATTTGTTATAAGAACAGAAAAGTTGTTAGAGATCAAAATATTGAAATATTCAGCCTTCAGTGTACATAAAATATGCTAATTACTTTAACATATCTTTTCAATTCACACAATTGAAATATTTTAAAGATATAAAGAAAACACTTATGTATATTCTATAAAAAGAGAATTATACAGTGCATATTTTTTATGAAAATTATTAAATAGACAGTTTAAAATTTAAACTTCTTTAAAATGGGATGTTGATCACCAATATCTTAATAAATTAAATAAGTAAATTAAATAAATAAACTATAATTTTTTTAAATTGTAGAGTTAATTTACCTGGCTGATCATTAATCATCACTTATGTAACATAAAATATGTTTATATTATACTGTATGTATAATAATAAGCAGGTTTAATTATTTTATATACCTATAAAATGTAAATGTTGTACTTACATGGGTGGTTGCTGATGTATGTATGAGTGGTGTTGGTTCGAAAATGCATACTTCAGCTCCATAAGCTGCTGCAATTTTTCCAGTATCTGTACTACAGTCCAAGGAACTGATGCGGACATATCCATGTATAGCACCCGGTATTATTTGTACTCGCTCAAAATTTGATGCTAATATCACTATATTACATCCTGCTGCATATGCCTAAAAAGTTCGTATATAATTTTTATTGATATTAATTAAATAAATTGATTTTTTTCTTCTTAATGTCTTATATTAATAACATTCACATTTAAAGGGATAAGCTAGTAAATAACATAATTATCATAAGTACACTAGATGATACTCCCACAAGGTAAACAAAGCCTTTGACAATAATAGATATTTAAATACTGAAACAATATAAATTACTGTTCAAGGATACACTTTTCTTGGACAATATATAATATTATGGCCTCTAAATAACACAGCTGATTGTTTAAGGAAATGCATTCAAAGAAAAATATATTTTGTTCTTATCACAGTTTAAATTAGATTTTCCTGTTAGGACCATTACTGTTCAATTACCACTTAAGGTTTCGGTCACGAGACTTACATCCTGACAACAGTTTAAAATCTGACAATCAACTCACTGTAAAAGGTATTCCTTCGACGGATCCAACAGCAAAACATTGATCTCCTGAATTGCAGGCACCACTAAGTACTTGATGACAGTTCATAATGAGTTATTATAACTATAATTCTCTCACTGTATATTTACCAAGACACAGTAAAGCGCACAGTATAGTATTCTGTTTAAGTAATACATAATTATACTAAGAAATAAAATATTGCATTTGGATTAGTTCTTCTATGAGTTGTACGATGAAGAATATTTCTCTATGACACCACACATCGAACGTGAAAGAATCAAGAGTGACGTACGTAATGCGAGAAAGAGATAAGAATAAAAATTAGGAATGTCTTAAAGTGACACAGGTTATATATAAAGTAGGTAAAACAATTCAATCATAATTGTAATATTCATTATTTACTTTATTTAGGAATTAACTAAAATCTTTTATTAAGCAATAATTGGGATGACTTTTTTCATAACCGTAGATACTTTTATAATCTGTATCTGTTTGGCACAAAGCTGTGAAAATTTAATAGGTAACTCTTGCCTCTATAATGTGGGAATTGTTTTTGTGTAATGTGTATTGATGTGGTATTTATTGATCAAAAAACTTTACAAAAATAGGGTTAGTAACGAATAACTTAACAATTAAATCTTGGTCATCGAATATAACAATTTCATTTAAGTGATTTATTACTGAAAGAAAGCTGAATATACTTTGAAAGGTAAGGATATTATATTTTGTTTATTAGTAAATATTGGAATTTCTGTTTTGACTATTTTAAACGGTTTTTTCTGTTTTAAGTAAAGTATTAATCGGGATATAACAATAATAAAATGAAATGAGAATAAAACAGAAATTATCTTTAATGTTTTGTGGAAAACTTATACAAATTTAAGTAATTTGAAAACATATTTCAATTAAGTGAACAAGTTACAAGAAAAAAACATGTTAATCTAACATTGTTTGTCTAGGACATTTTTTGAATTTCTTAGTTAACATTACAATTCATCTTAAAATGTTTTTTGGAAAAACTCTAAACAATATATCCACTTTTTGTCATACAAACTTTTGTTTGTATAAGATTGTCTTAAAACAAATTTAAATAAAGTAATATTCTTATATTTTTCATTATTTGTGAAAAATTACATTAAAACCTAAACTTGGAAAGGGTACATAAAGTTTTAAATCTTGTATAAAGATAATATTTTTTAACATTTAACAACAATGTTCTTATTAAATATGATATGATTTTCTAAATATTTTTGATTTGAAACAACTTGCTATGTTATAATAATGTATGAACATAATATATATATATATATATATATCTGAATGTTTATTTATTTCAATGTATCAACAGTACATTTTTATCTCTGTTATTCTCATTATAAATGTATTGATATGATAAAAATGAAATCACCGGCCTCCATTTCCCGTCTGGTGATGAATAAAGTTTTATTTTTGAACACTTGACTTCCTAATTGAGGCTAACAACTGGTGTAGATGTAATGAATCTTACTAGTGATTGCTGTTACAAAGGAATTTGATTCTTATAATCTACTATATAGTTGTAAATTATTAAAAAATTGTATAGACAAAGTGTAGTCAGCTTACAATATATTTGATGTCTTATTAAAAAACTTTTATCTTGTATGTGATAAGTATTCTGTGTTAGTATCATTATCAGCAAAGAAACATAAATACATATTTAATACTTATATATAACTCATAATGTATAATTTCTTCTTTTTTCACATTATTCCTGTCTCTATACAATATAATGAGATCTAAGATTTTCATGAGTACTCATTTATATACAATATCATATCTCATATATTATAATACTATGTACATAGTGTAACTCAATTCTGAAGGTTAGAAAGAAATACACATTGACAAAAATATTGTTTTTGAATTTGATCTTGAAGTTACAAAATTTAAATGAATTATTTAAATAATTTTATTTGCCAAGAAGACTTTTTATGTAAATTTTATATTAAGGAGAAAATTTGCATTTCATAGCAATATTTATACTATTTTAAGGTATCAACCTTGAAATCTGTAAATATAACTTTTTATCTTCTGTTTTTCGCGATCGCATGACGTTTTTATGTAAAGAGGGATATAATTTCCAATCTCTACGATAGCAATTATATCTCAAACAGTCGAAGTCAAAATATTATTCACACTAATTTTATACACATAATTTTACGACTGAAATAACTTTTGTATCGCTTCGAAAAGCGTGTCTAATTATAGATAATAAAATCGATGTACATTAACTAACTCAATTATAAATATATTATTTATACTATGTACAGCAGCTGAGTGCAATCGAAATTAGGCCAGCGTGGGGGTCTTTCTATTTATAGAACTCCCCCTTGCCCTTTAATAAGAATCCTTGCGTTCGCCTCCTGCATACAGATTGCATTTTGTCGCTGCGTATTCCAGGAGAAATATTAGTATACCTTCTAAGCCATTCAACAGTTGCATAACTATATTAAATTTTATTTATTACATATATATGTTTGTTGGTTATTAGAAATTCTTACAAATTGATGTTGTAAAGACACGCGCTAATAACTATTGTTTTGATATACGAGTACAATATTAATTATCTAGATATCGTCTATTAAAACAGAATTATTAAACCATTAGATCATTAATAAATCGAATGCCATTCACTTAAGCATTATAAAAGTGTATGGGTCAGTAAATTAATTAACAAGACGTGTGATCTGTTGTCTAGAAAAGCTTCTATGATATTTATACAAAGTTCAAAGTATTATTAACTTATTTAATAAAAATAAGATTACTCTATAAAAAATCTACTTATTTTTGAACCTTTCGATTTAAAAGGATTCGTCCTTCCGTCATTCAGCCTAATCATAAACAAACTTTGGTAATTTTTATCTTTTATGAGATCATCGTTTATGTTTTAATTTACTTAATCTAGGATTTCAGTCTTTTAATATGATATACAATTAATTTATTACTATTACATATCAACGCAAAAATTATAACTTAATCGTGAGGTTTTGTTGAAGGATTTGTGGATGTGTTTGCTCTGTATAGCGAGGAAATACGAATTGGATTTTGAAATAATTTTACGTGAATGTAGGCTATACGAGAAATTATCATGTAGCTCATAATGAGATCTAAGACTTACGCGAGTATTTATTTAAATGAAACTAATATTTTTCGGATAATACAACGTGTATTTTATTACTTTAAAAACTACATACTCCCGACGTTTCGGTTACTTTTCAGCAACCGTGATCACAGGCAGACGATATGTGAATGTACGTATGTAGCTTACTCATTCATTCGAAGATTTTATCTACTTCAAGTCAGAAACACGGCAAATACCTTTCATTGGTGCAGGCCATAAACATTGATTTCTCTCGTAAAAAAATCCCGCAGTCCATGCGGACACAGCCGCGTGCCAAAGCTAGTTTTAACATTAAACTATACCTATCAAGCGTAGTGCCTACTCGTAAAATTTTTTGGCCGTTGCTCGTCTGTAGTCGGCAGACTGTCGGGCGCCTCAATATGATGTCACACCCACGCTTGGCACACTCTAACATTAAGATGTTAGGGCTGAGAGATCACTTTGACGGATATAACGTTTAATATCCGGCTTTATAATTAAGCTTAATATACTAAAATTTTAATTAAATATAATATTCCAAATAATTGCATTAATAGATAAAATAATCTACATATATCTTAATAATCAAGAGTGCAATATCTTTATGTAGATAGGATTTACAAGCTTAATTTTTATTTTATTATCTATAAATACTTAGCATTTTTTTGTACTAATGTAAATAAAATAATACACTTATTCCTTCAGAATGTAATAATAATTTATTTACTATATAAAAAAGACAACAATTGTAGGATGTATGACTGGTAAGAATTAAGCGAGAATCATAATGATTCATCTTATTACTGTAATTACCTAAACGATATTTCCCCGAAGTCTGTTAAGATCGTTGACGTAATATGATACGGAGTTTATAACAAGAATATTGAATGGTAGAACTCAATATGAAATATTAATATACCTCTATATAATATTCTTTAAATAATATTCTAATAATACGTTCTGAGATCTCTTTATATATATTTTTATATAAGGTTCAAAGCTGATCTGAATGTATGATTAGAATAAGACGTTAGCTTTGTGACGGCCATTGAAGGATTTTCTGTATTGATTTTATATTCCAAAAATACAGGGTGACTGGTGAATTACTATCAATATTTAAGGAGAATACTCGGTACATGATTCTCATTCGAATTATGTAAAAAAAAATTGTTTATTTTGGGTAACAGATAATAGTTATCAATTTATCTTTATATAATCTATATTGTCAAGTTAAAAAAAAGTTAAGTAGTTTTTGAGAGAAATTGCAACAATTTCAGTCTTGATTCTTTAATGTTCGGCGTTTATTCTAGTAATGTCCTGCAAAATGGCTGAAGTTGTATTTATAGCTTTCAAATACAAGTTGATACCCAAATAGCATCACAAAATTACATGGGATCAATAATATAATTATCAAAAATTACAATTAATGTTTTCAGTACATAGCATTAATAGCAATTAATATTTTTACTATGTAACTTAAACTTAGTATCAGGTTCTCAAATTAACCCGACAATATCCACAGGTACATAACTTTATTATTAATTATAATCAGTCATAAAGATAATTCGTAGTATATTATAATTAGTACGGCAGGGAAGGCGCCACTTGTAACATTATACATCCACTAGCTTTCCGCCCGCAACTTCGCCCGCGTGGAGTTCGGTTATACAGGGTGACTGGTGAATTACTATCGATACTTGAGGACGTGATATTTGACGATCATATATGACAAAATAAAAATTAATATGACATAAATATTAATAAACTTCTGAGTAAAGTTAACCAAAAGTTATGTAATTAATTACGCATCGTGTGAACACCCTACAGATTAGGTATACACACACTCACGCGTCCACACTTGGAACACTTGGAACGTGTCCACGCTTTATTTATTTATACGAAAATTTGGTCAAAAATTAAGTACCTATTTTTTTTACATAATTCTAAT